CATCATCAACTCATGACAAAACCAATCTATAGAAACCGCATCATGTACCATAGACATAGTCAAAGACATTATCCTTATGCTTAACGTTCTTTCCTATTGTATAATACATATTTATATTGTAGCTGTGAATTAGACTACTGAATCGATGATGCATTTCTTGCAGCCATTGTCATTCTCCCGACAGAAACATACCAGCAAGGGGTTTGATCCGCATTTAACACCAACTCAGGAGGAATCTTGTTCTCTGTAGTCATCTTGTTAATGTCACTGAGAAATATAAGTTTACATTCTTCGAACATTCCTCTGGCATTTGGAGGACGAGTAGTTGTTCCAGCTTGGCGAGTAAAATTGCAGCACCTATAAATGGCCTTCACCCAAGTCACTGTAGGTTCAAATTCTCTTAAATATTGCGTCTTATTACTATCAACAAGCACCAGAGCTGTTGCCTTCACAACACAGAAATTAACTACTCCACCTCTGCTTCTAATGCTCTTAAGAAGAGAGATTAATCTGCTGTCCAGTTCACGGAGTATTGGTGGCCGCCCATGGGTATCACTCAGGATAACAATGCCAGTTGCATCTGTGTTACCTTTTTACTTCTCCTCGCGTAGTCTCTTCTCGTAAGCCTGCTTGAAAGTTCTTACAGTGCTTTCCTTTAATGTTGGGAGTTGCTCCTTAAAATGATTGATGGCTTTCGAATTACCATTCTCACTAGCATATTTCCCAATCCACAGTGGGCCATTATGTATTCGCTTAAGGACGGTGCCCACTATTGTTACTGCGCACATTTTCTGCGTATGCCAAGGAAGTCGCGCGCGATGTGAAAGAAATGCACAACATGCAGGACACACGGACTGGTTTTGTCTCCTGTAAGTAAATCTGGGAGGTTCGAGTTATTTCTTGTGGAAAAAATGCGTAGTTTTTCAACGCATGAAACAATTTCTATTTACCTTGTCAGTTCTTTGAAAACCAAAAAAGTATGTACATGTTGCTATTTCTACGTATGATCCATCTGACCGAACATTTTATAGTCAAAAACATCAAAAGTTATTGCTTCAAGATGTTACGCTTAAAGTTTGGGTATTAAGACATCCCTTAATAGGCAAGGATCAGTAAATCAGAAGGAAAATAGCTCTAAGCCCACCGCTTAATCGAGAAACTGCAAGCTTACCTTTCACTTGCATCCTTCGGGTTTTATCGGCCAATGGGCTATAAATACTTTCCCAAATATTTCTTTCATTTGGTAAGATTTTATGTAAGTATTAACCAGAAGATAGATTTAAAGTGTTCGAGTACATACAGATGTCCCTTTTATCGAGAGTCCGAGGTTTTTATTTGTTGAACAAACAAGAAAAAAACTACCACAAGATTGTTTGGATTGCTGAGTTCGCAGCTTCACAAATAGTTGCGGACTGCAAAAGCAACGCTTTCATCGTGGAAAAAACTATAAAAAAATTGTTATGCTTTTTACTATTATCATTGTTATTTAAGCATTTTGGCATTACTAAGCATTGAAATTATTGAGTCATTGGCAGCTTGTCGTGTAGATAGTATTTCTTAAGGTTCAATTTCACACCACACCTAATCTGGACATTTGGACATAACTGCCATTTGGCTGTTTACAAACTAAAGATGGAAGGTAAAATAGAGTATTTCCATTCTAAGACTTTCTTAGGTTTAACAGACACTGTTAAGTCTAAAATTAACATTTAGAAACGAAAAATAGTGAATGATCATGACACAGAATGCTACAGTAAAAAAATCAAAACGAAATATATGAAATGATCATTATAGCTTAGTGCATATATGAAGGTACATATTAAAACACATTCGGTAAAACTACTTTCACAGCTTTTTTAAAAGAGAGCTCATGTATGGAACTTGAGTCAATGCAAATCATTTATGTCATATGGCACTTGTCACAGATATAAGCTCATTGAATGTATGCAAGTTTAATAACATATTCGATCGAGGTACCTGTTAAAATGATAAAAAAACGATAGAAGGTTTACAATCCATATTACATCTACAGTTCAAAACATCTTAAGGACATGTACAGGTAAGCAAACGATTGAATGAGTACCTGTCTTAGAGTCCCTGTCCACTATTTTCCACTGCAGTACAGTAGTTTGTTTACAGCACCAGCCGTGGATCTTCAGCTCGCCATACTACTCTATGTGCGCTGCAAGTTATCTCTAATACCTTGGAGATTGCTCTTCTCCAAAAGTTTTTGTTAAATGTTTCAGACAGAGAAGCTCCAGTTGAATGAAATAGTATAATTTGTTTTCCTTAGAGTCCATGAAATATCCTGCTTCACCTCCTGTCTTTGCTCTCCTCCGTGTGTTGTTGTTCTCTCTGACTGTTAGCCATTGTGGATATCCCAGAGTACTCCGCATTGAGTGAAGCAATAGTGAAAGTGACCGGGGAGGGGGTGGGGAAAATTGTAGATAACCCCCAAAGCGATTAAGTTAAGGTCGAAACCAACCAATTTAACTTTTAAAAACGTGTGGTAACCCCTACTTTTTATCTTACCAAATGAAAGTAATAAGCCTACTCAGAAAACGATCAATTTTTGGTTCGGGGAAAATGTCGTTTACACTATTTTTGACGCAAACGCGTGGAGAGGGGTAACTGCTGATAACTTCCCAGTTGTGCTGATATTTCAAAAAAAGAAGTATAAAGAGCAGTTGTTATGTTATCATTTGTTGCCTATTTTGAAACCTTGTTACAATTATCATTGCATTTGTGCCAGTTCATGTGTACACTTAAATTTTGGGGAAAAAAATACCTTTTTATCATTTTTCTAAAAAACGCCTATTCGGCGGTTTTCTCCATATTGAGGCGCAGTTATCTCTGAAAAATGCGTGGTTACCTCCAGTTTTCTTTTTGGATCTCAATAGCCCCTGATATGATCTACTTGTCTCACACAGTCATTATCTGGGAAAAAATACTTCCCATTAGTGGGCACCGTCCTTAAGTGCAGTCTACACGGGTTTCACGTTTATAAAGAGGTTTGGAGTCCGATTGTTGGGGAGCAATTGAAATGCTGCTACGAGAGAAATAACTGTTACGATTGCTATGCCATTGCAGCGACCAAGCACCTTCTAGGCCGTCTTGCTAACTCTACAGTTGGTCACTGCCCAGAGAGATTTCCAAAGCAACACGCTTTTCCCTACTTTGTGCTAAAGTCATCGACAAGAACCACAGAAGATCTCCCCTAGTGCAAGGATGATTGCAAATTGCTGTACAAGTTACAGCTGAGACTGATCCAACCAAAAGGAACAAGGCAATACTTAAAAAGTATAAACAGATTGTTGTGTTAAATTACAAAGAACCCAGGATAGATGGCCATTTCGATAACTGTACAAAAGAGGTGCTGAAAGGATTTGAAGATGACCATAGCGATACAGATTACGACATTAAAAGCAACACAGACAGTGAAATTTGACTGTTAAACTGTTGTTTATCATCTGTAGGCGTGCCATAGAGATTTTACACATTATACACAATACATACACATGTGTTTCTTCATTAAATTGAGAAAACAAAAAATATAAGGGGGTATCAAATTTTGCGACATGAAAGTTTGCGGCAATTTTTTTCCCATCGCTTTAAGTTCGTGATTTAAAAGCAACACGAAAATTATTACTCATAAGGTACGACTTGGATCTGAACACCCAGTCTCGTCCTATCAAAGCAAACTATTTACCTGACAATTAGCTCCATTTACACTTTAAGCTTTTGCATGCCACTCCCTATATAATGATCTCACGCAATTAAGAACTACACAAAATTTAAAATGATGACATGGAGTCATCGAAATGTCATTAATTGCTGTTGCTAATCTTTATTCTCAATCATTTGTATATGCATGTTTATATTTAAAAGAATATAGCCATCAAAATGTATGCACACACTTGTAGGTGTATTAAATTGAGAAGTATGTGATATACACAGCAAATTCGAGGTTGTAAATTAACACCAAGGATGATATACATTAACACTGAATTAGTGTTATCATAACACTTGCCGAGTGTTTCTTAAAAGATACACCAATTCAGTGTATGAAAACACAAATGGTGTAATCAAGAAATGTGCCACACTTTGGCGGTGTAAAGTTACACTACATCTGTGTTTCAAAACTCTTGCAAGTACTTAACACAGCTGATGTGTAATTTTACACCAAATCGTGTATCAAAACACTGACAAGGAGTTAATCTGAAATTATCAATTGCAGATTCCTGGTCAAAAATGTTGAAACTTATATCGGTGGTTTTGGTATGATCACTGGAAAAATACCTTGAGAATCGAAGGAAAAGTCCTAAAAGCCCTAAACAACCTGCTCACGTGAATTCGGCTAACTCAATGTTGAACCCGATTCAAACCCTTTGGGAATAAAACGCTTTGTTTGAGGAATTTTCATATCGTTTAAATGTGAATGCCACATTATAACGTAAATACAACACACAAAGAATTTTAACCCACTGAGATTTGAATTGGGTACAACATTGTACAACATTGAGTTAGCCGAATAGGTCTATTGCTTTTCAAAAAATATGAGATGTGTGGAAGTGCCCCAGCATGAATGTAGTTATACTACTTGGTGCTACAGGTTAAAAGCCCTTACTGTGATCACAAAAACTTTCTTAATAAATTATATGAATCTTTTATTACGGATGATGTAATTTCCTCTTCTTGAAAAATTGACGGATCTAATAAGGACAATTAACCTCACATACTTTATTAAGGGCAGAGAGCCCTAAAAAAACACTCACACACACACACACATAGGCATCTACTACCAGGACCCCACCCCACCCCCCCCGCCCCGATACAGTGTGTGTCATCTTGAGGGGGGCTAGAACCTTAAATAAAGCCATTACCCATTGTTAAAAGAATGAACTCTCACTTCATTTGTATCAAAACATCATAAATTTTAATACATAGCATTTTAGTTAAGCACTGTCTAGACATTTTTTAAATAACTGCGGTTGATTCATTTATACAGCATCTGCCAGGTCATATCTCATCCTCACAACAAGTGTCTCAATACCTCCAACCTTAACTCTGTGGAGTAATAAAGGGTGGTGATCAATAAGGGCTTCATAGCTACTTATCAGCTCTTCGTTACGTACTAAAATCTCATACGAACAAAGATGTTCAATGTGCCTGACTGTGCCTAACTTGTTTCCAACAAAAACTATACTTCCATTTGGTAAAATTAGAATTTCAGCAATTTGAAGAAACTGAGGCAGGAGGCCATCATGCCCAATCACAAGAATTTGCCTTGCCTGGTACTTTGTCCCAAAGCACTGAACCCAATTTGGCCTGCAAAATGTAAAGAAAAGTATTTTAGTTTACAGATATTACCTGGTTGAATGTAAATGCAATATTATGAATTAAGGAGGCAATTAAATAATAGTCAACATTATTAAGTTTCCATTATAAAATTACCGATACGTGCAGACGTCTCATATTTTAAAAAAGCTTAAATGCATGGGATACAAATGAAACAGTCAGGAATGTACAAAATAATAATATGAATGAGACACTTTCTTATTTTTCATTTATTCATCAGAATAATAATACTTTTACCCATTCATGTACCTGTAGAGTATAGTATCTGGTAAGATATAAGGGAAGTGGCCATACAGAGCATTCTGACGCACTCTTGTCATTTCATTAACAGCAATGCTTCTCCCTTAAAATGATGCAATGTAAAATGGGGAACATAAACTCAGTAAATAAGTTAATGCAAGCCTCCATTCCATTGACCCTTTTTTGTATGACAAATCCACCTGAGTGGGGACCTACAGTTAGCTTGTACATGGCATTGAGTGGGTGAAAAGAACTGCAAAATGTAGAAAAGAGAAAAAAAGGTACCCTACCCCACCGTTTTTACAGGTTATTCTGGATGAGAAGGCTTGTACACCCCTTACCACCCCACAACCCTCCACACATACACTCATACACATACAAACACCATTAAAGCTACCAACACCATCACTTTTTTGAAGAAGTGTTCATACTCAAATTCCTTTTCAGACATAAAACATTTAAAAGGATATTTACTTTCCGTTCTTCTAAAGTTTAAGTACTATAACCAGCAATAAATTATACAAAAATTTGCCAATCAGGTTTAACAGAAAAAGAAAACGTTCAAAATATGCAGTGAGTGAATTCATGTGTCAGGTGCTAGGTGAACAAACCTGGTCCATTTTCCTGAGCTGAACGTAGATATCCTCCTTCAACAGAAAGCCAATAAGACTGTAGCCTTTGATGGTGGATGGCCAGTGTTTTACACAAATTCTGGAAACCCTTTGAGCTCCTTGCCAGCTTCTTGAAATAGTGGTTTTTAGCCTCAAATCGCATACACCACAGTCTGATAAGAGGACCAACTCTGTAATAAAAGTTGTAAAATGAACATTTTATATTATGTGAGAGAATAGTTATTACCAATCCAACCAATACAAAACTTTGAAGTTGACGATATCTATACTATATGTAAAAGCCCAATCCAGGTATTTTGTAAAAGACTTTTTTTAATATTGAGTTGTAAGTTGTGCTTAAGGGAATTCACCTTTTTTTTCACAAATTATGCTAATATGCACACAAACAACAGGGATTCACTAACAGGGACACATGGAATCCTGGAGGGGGAATTTAACAGCTAAGAAGTTCATTCATTTCTGTTTCTTTTCCTTTCCACAAAAGAAGCTAGGGATTATGTTCATGGCAGCTTACGGACAAGATTAAATTGTTTTATCACAACACCTATATTGAGTGAACAATTTCAATATAGTAAAGGAAAAAAGAAAATTGCAATAATGTAAATCATTATGTGGTACTCACTGAACAAGCTGTCTAGGATAGTGGACCAAAAAGTGCTGCTTAGGTGATATATTTTTGCTTGGATATAGCAACAGCATTTCTTGCAAATAATCTTTGATAAGAATTCTTAAATATGCTGCAGCGGTGGCACTTGTTACAGGGGCACAGCATAGATCCACAATTCGAAGCAAATCGCAAAAAAGGATTAAATGGTCATTATCTGGAGGAATCCATTCAGTTATCATCAGAGGAAAGTAGCGTGCTAAGCACCACATTTGAGCAGCTATATAAAACCAAGCAAAATAAAAGAGTCTTCAGCATTTAAGGAAATGTTAAGGGTCAAGGGACTGGCCAAATATGTTTGCTATATATATGACATTTCATTATGTTACAGAGGTTTGTTATACTGAGGTTAACCACTGTCAATGTAAATCAAAACTGATAATAAAATAATATCAAAAATTACCAACTTTTCCAACAACAGATTTAATAAACCAATCGAAGAATGCCTATAGCTATTGAAGAGCTAGACTTCACAGTGAAAGACTACCAGGTACTGGAAGCCTCAATGCATTATTTACTAATTAATTCCTGTTGTCTTCAATGATGGTTAAATAATCATATTATTTAACCATACAGTAGACTGGTGTTCACTGACCTGATTGTTTGAGGTTGTCATCATTTGAACTTAAAGTTAAGTTTGTTATAGTTGAAGGTCTGTTGGATGTTTCTACAATGCCATAATCAAATGTCTTAATCTTCTCATTCAGCATTTCAAGAGTGAAAAAATTACTCTCCATAATGAAGAACCCGAGAAGTAACTTCAAGTGCCGTGGTATTACACCCTCCAACAGGTCATGCATGATGTCAGAAGGAAGTCCATCCACAACGTGAAAATATTTACTTTTATTTAATGGTGACTTTCTTTTTACTCCATAAACTGATGTACAGGAAGGATCTGCCTCAATTTGGTCCAGATGATGGTCATGTCCAATTCGGCTTCTTAGTACAAATTCCTCCTCAGTAAACTACAAAATAAGTAAGACACCATTGCAGATTCTACAAATAATTTGAGATAAAGATCCATGCGTTCAATTAAAGACATGAACTATTACAAGTTATAATTTGTACCTTTTGTTGTATATCCTCTGGAGTTCCCATGCAAAACCTGCATTTTCTATACGCACTGAAACTTTCCATAAAACCTCCCCAAGAATGACTACCAAGATTGTCTGCCAGGCACAGTCCTATTGTACCACTGAAGTGCATAGCCACACCATTGACTTCAAAAGGAATTCCAGCATCCTGAAAATAAAGCGACATTCAAAGACCTAACCCAAAAATGGCAACTTCATTATTAAACCTGTATTTAATTAAAAAGGTAAGGGTAACTATATGTATGACAAGGCAATTTAGGTAACTTCTCCTTTATGACAGTTAGTAAGTTTGATTCTAATGCTACTGAAATAACTATACAGTTTCACCAAGATATTCCTTTCAACAAGGTTATGCAGTTTTAATGTAATTTTAATAGTCTTTTAACAACTTTTATTTGAATTAAATAGATGGTAAAAGAATGGGTGCAGTTTTAAGGTTGATTTCCACTGACGCGTTTTTGGCTACGCACACCTGCTATGCATGTAAATTTTAATCACGTAAATAAAACAGAGGCAAGATAAAAAGTGCTGAGCTTAGACAAGAAGTTGAGCAAGGTTCAACTTTTATGGTTACGGGCGACCTTTCATGTATTGCCCCTATTTTATTTGCGAACGTAAATTTTATGCTTGTATACATGCGTAAGAATTACGCGACACTGGAAATCAACCCTTACAGTGAAAAATTAGATCCTTATGCAAGGCAGATCAAACCCCTGTCACTTCTCTCTTACTTTAAATTAGTGATCTCTGAACCTCATTCCTGACCTTCTTTGAAAATATAAATATTTTTGGAACTTGAGTTTGACCATAGATAGAAAGTTCAGATAATTATCAGAAGTAAGACTGATGTGGCTGTATCGCTCAGATGATCAATGCACATTAAAAATACTTACAGACTCAAGCATGTTGATCTCTACCATGAATCGATGCAAAACTTTATCAAATCCATATCGATTAAGGTATCGTGAGGGACAAGTAGCCACTAACTGCATTGATCTCAAAACTGAGCGGTACTTAGGGTGGAGATTGCCAAGCATCCAATAAAATGCAGCTATTATTCAAATGAATGAAAAAATATATTCCATAATTAGCACCCTTCTTTAAATACTAAAGATACGCAACTTCAGCTCATGGAGACATTGACAAATTAATCTTGATCATTATCATATTTCCTTCAGTGACCAGTGGAACATAGGGCAGGAGTCAAATCTGAACTGATTTCAAAGTTGCAGTATAAGCTTCATTTTTACCAGTAAAACAAAAACAAAATAGAAAGAGAGGCAATGCCTACATCATCTAGACACATGCATATATGAAACTGTATTTGTCCTGGAATTAATATAAAGGGGACTCTAACAAAAACAGATTAGGACTCACTAATACACACTTCCAGTTTTTTTTATCCCTTATAAAACATACAAAAGAGTAATAAAAATAAGGTTTAGTAGTGTACAAACCCATTTTGTGTTTAGATGCTTTAGAGCCAAGAGGATCACACACTTCAAATTCATCAAAATATGTCATTATCTGAAGGGCTTTGGAGTTAGCAGAAAATAAGGGGTGGTTGTTGAAAAAGCTTCCATCACAGAAATCTCTTATTTTCCCTTCTGGCATGCTGTGACCATGTTCAATCTGAAAAAAAATTAACTGCATAAATATAGACAACAAACTTGATGCCTCAAAAAGTAAGATGACTGAGCCCTACTTCTCATGATCAAAAAGAAAGTCATAGGTTGCCCTAGTTCATTAACAAAACTGAATCTCAAAAATATTATAAACAAATGTGTTCAAAACTTTACCTCAGTGAATACATCATATTGATTCAGCAACACTTGAAGCATACTGATTACAGAAATATATTGAAAAGTGTGCCTCTTGACTTTAAATCGTCTCCGCCCATTAAATGAGTAGAACTGAACCTCTTCCCCAAGAACAACTTCTTCTGGCTCCTAAAGAAAATTTAAAGCCCAGCTGATTAACATTTTAGTATCAAATGGAGTATTTGCTGGTGTGCAGGTTAACAAAATGTCCTGCAATTTGAACCTTAGCCCTTAGCTAATCCAAGTTAAACCCAAAACTGCATGAACAACAGACAAGTATTAGTATTTTCAAGGTTAAAAGATGACACAACTCTAACACAACAATGGAATTTAATAAAACATTACCACCTCTTCTGTGTCATGCCCAAATATGTATCAGTTTTACTCTTGTCTATTATATGCAAATGTACTTTTTATGGAGGTATGTATGTGCGACGAAAAGTGTAAGGGGTATTGAGTTTATAAACAGCAGAGTCAGTGTTGTGATTGGAAACAACTCAAAAGGAATCTGAAAACTATGGTCTGCATCCCAGGGGTGGTACTTGGATTTCAAGTGACGGAGATGATTGAATGCAGGCAGAAATCAAAACCCCAGAAAATTCCTGGACAAAAATTTAAGCACCTAAAAAATCTCATGCTGAATTTCTGTGGCATAAAAATTTCCAGAAAGCATTAAATGATATTAGACGAAAAACAGAAACATAAGTTTTGAATACCCCAGAAACTCTCTACTCAACTCAAGCTTCCCCCAAAAATTACTTGTCAAAATTTTCCTTCCCAAAAAAAATCCTGAAATCAAAAATTTCAAACCCCCCCCAAAATCCTTTAATCATCCCTGTCACTTGAAATCCGGAGTACCCCCCGCCACCCCTCTCCCCCGCCCCCACTGGGGTCTACACTGGTGGGCTATGAGTTGAAACCTTCACACAAACACATGGACAAATTAAAGATTAAAAGGTTTGTAGTTCATTCCTTTCCTAAACAGTTCATGTCATTTTCTAGACAGTTCGTTTCATAAAAACAAACTCATACTTGATGTATTAAACAGACAAACATCAAAAGTCTTACCACCATCTTCATAGTATTTAATGCATATTCTGTTCTCTGTCTCACGGTTTGAAGTCTTTCAAATGCACTATCAAAGGGTGTAGGTTTATCAAGAGCTTCCTCCGACCCTTCGACTTCATCAACAGCCATTCCCTCTACCTTTAGGCACCTCTGAACACGTTCTTTAAAATGGTTAACGTTTTGATCAACAACATCCTTTACGTAATTAAGGATGTCCGAAGTAGCAGAGTCTGTCAACATATGAATCTCTTGCATTTTTACGACAGAAAGAAACAAGCTTCTTGTTGATTTTTCTTCAAGCCGTGAATCGTCTTCATGTGAGATATCTTCTTGGTGTTCATCGGCAACAAGTGATGTACTTTCATCTTGACCACAATCATCAGACGTTAAGCGTATGTGCCCTTGGTGCTTTCGATACAAATGGGAAGTGAACGATGTAAACACTGTGAAAGTCTGAAAGCATCCCTCAACTGTGCATGCTATCTTGAAGTTAGGTTCAAAGCTATGAGAGTTACGAATATGATTTAAGTAGCGTTTAAAGGTTGGAAAGGACAGATGACTGCACTCAACTTTATAACAAGAAAATCGATCCATGACCGCTTCTGTCTGGGTTCTCTACAGTTTCGTGTCTCGGAGCGCGCGCTTGCGCCAAATTTTGGCGGGAACTAATTGAAAGCACGTGCTTTCAGTGTTTATACGCCGGAAAAGTGAAAACAAAGATACTGTAGTTGAGCAAATTTAAAATGTTCTAAAAAGACGGCATTTGTGTTATAAACAAGTTAACCTTCCAAACATCAAGGAAACATCGCATTTGCTTAAAATTAAACCAGTCATTTGTATATTGCGTGAGGCTCTCGAAAGTGATCTTGTTAGTTATATTTTGAAACGCGTCTATCAACGTCGGCAAGCGAAACAACATCGGAATGTTTTGTGTGTGCGGATACGACCAATCACAGCTCAGTCCTAAAACGTTCTCACGGTTTCATAATCCCTTTGATTGCATTGTGAACATTCCTTTCAAGACGGTACCTTATCAAGTAATGTTTTATCCAATCAGAGAAAAGAGAAAGGTTTCGTGAATTGTTTCTACCGTTCAAATATTCACGCACACCGAAGCAGTAGCTGTCCATTTCACCATCTGTAGATTCTGCACGAAAGAGTTAAATCATTTGGTCTGTCTGTCATGGCTTCACTTATTTTTTCTTGTGAAGACGTTCAAGAATGGATGAAGAAGGAGGGATTTCAGGCATTTGCCGATCATTTTTATGGTAAGAAAATAGCCTCAAAGGTTCCCAACTGAAAATGCTCTTTTGGCGCGAAATAACGGAACACGTTGATGTTTTTACTTCAAATTACATTAAGGCCTGAAAGTTTAGCTTTAAAAACTTTAATTTTCCTTTCTTAACTCTATACTTTTTTCTTTAATTCCAAAGCTGAACAGGTTGATGGTGAAGCACTGTTGTGCATGAACGAGGAGACGTTGAAGACCCTCGTGCCCCCTGCTGGCGTTCGCGCTAAGCTTCTACATAAAATTAAAAAACTGAACGATGAAAGCACGGAAGTTCGGATAACCGAAGCGCGACCTATACATGAAGATCCTAAAGCTGAAACAGTTGGCGAAGCATCTAGCGCCCCATCAGTGGAAAAAAAGAGGTAAGAACCTATTAACACTTCCAAAGGGCCACTCACAAACATCATCTCATTTTAGAAACGGCTATGGGAGTAGAAGGGGAGAGATTTGCCAATGTTGTCCATGTGGAAGTAACTTGTAAGCTGTTTTTCTGGTTATGAAATCCGGTCAATTATGGAAAACCCAACCTATAACAAAAGAGACAATATTATATATAGGGAATTTACTAGCAATCAGAAGCTTGCAACATAGAAAAATTAGTACTGACGTGTTTCTTAGGAAGGGTGGGTGGGGAATTAGGTTCAGTGGAAGAAAGAAGACTCAGTTACAATGCATTAGTCAACCTAGGAGTGGGTAGGAGAGAATCCTGGGAACGAGGTTGTGCATTAGTAAGCAAATTCTAAATACATATACAATTTGCCAATGTGTGCTGTCCATATACAACATAAAGGACCATATAAACATTTTTATGCAATCATTCACAACAGATACCTGTACTATAAAATATTAATTTCTGCCATCCGATCTATTTTACCTAAATGATACTTCAATATTGTCTTTTTCAATAAAACTGCCTGAGACCTAAAACTGTAAAGTTCTGTTCATTCGATATAATAATTGAAGCTGCAAAACTCATTATTAAAATATGTCTGTAAGGTTCTCAGTTATATATATTCCCAAATAAGTTACCTTTATCTTTCAATTCATCATGTTGTGGGTTTCCATAGCTATGTAAAGTTGGATTTTCCGCTTTTAACTAGCTCCAAAGTTGAGAGGTCAGCCCGCTCATTACTTGGAACATGATGAATTGACAGCTGGTAACAATTATTATAGTTAAAATTATCAGAAAAACTCTAGAAGGATAAAACAACAAAAAAGAAAGAAAGGAAGGAAGAAAGAAAAAGGAAATACACTCACAGTAATGCTTGGACCCCCTGTGAACAAATTTTTATTATTTCATTTTTTTTAGTTGGAAAAGATCTGATGAGGCAAAAAGGCGTCAGAGACTAGCTCGAAATAAACGAAAAAGGTTGGAAATAAGACAAATGAAGAAAAACGCCCATGAAGAGCTAGTTCAAGAAAAAAAGAAAAGACAGAAAACCGAAGAAAAACTGTCTTCTGCCAAAAAAAATCAAGAGAAGTTTTACCAAATGTGGCGTCAAACAGAGCGTGAAAAAGAAAGATTACTTCATTTGCAGATGAAAAATAAAACAAAGTCAATCAGTTCTTCAGACAGTGCTGTGGCAGTAACAAAGTCATTCCTAGAGATTCCAAGGGAACTGATACATGTAAATATGGACAGTGATTCCAAAAACTTAATAACCCTTGGTGAAGGAAAGTTTGGAAACGTTACACTTGCCTATTATCGTGAAATGCCTGTTGCAGTGAAACAATTCAATGAAGGAGTCTCGCAAGCAGAAGTTGAGCATGAGGCAAACATTATTTCCTCATTCAATCATTTAAATCTTCCAGTTCTATTTGGAATTTCCTGTCAGGCCAAACCTTTCATGCTTGTACTACAATTCTATTGAGTAGGTGGCAAGCCACTTTCATTAAAAGACTGTTTTCAGTCTTCCTCAGACCTACTGACAACTTCAAATTGGCTAAATACTGTTATTCACCTGTGTGATGCACTTAAACATGTTCACGAAAAGGGGATATTGCATAATGACATTAAAGCTGACAATATAGTTATGGTAAAAGAAGAAAACATTCAAATGCCCTACTCACCTATTTTGGTTGACTTTGGCAAATCCAAGCACATGTCAGATGTCCAAAAAAAAAACCTACGTGACACTGAGAAGGAGATCTATCGAAAACGACATTTTCACATTGCACCTGAAGTGATTGATGGATCACACACACCTTCAGTGAAAAGTGATGTGTATTCAATTGGTCTAGTTTTCTGTAAGATTTACAAACTGGTAAAGGTTAAAAACCTGAAAGACTTGTGCAAAAGGTGTATAGAACCATACAATGATAGATGTACATCAAATGAGCTGAGAGAAATGGCTGAGAGATTATCATTGTAACTAGCAGTAACATATGGCTGCTGGTTGGATAATGGGATTGTTTCCCATTATCCAGTATTTCCCTGTCACTACATTTTGCATGTAATTTTGATTGTGGATTTGACACGTAAATAGTTTTAAAAGATAGACTTAATATAATCATCATTTTGTAATAGTTTGATTTTGTAATTGCCCGCACCACAACAAACGTTATTAATTACTGGTAATAGTCAGTCCAAGGGTTAATTTTAAAGTACAGTCGACCCTCCATGTGCGACCATCTCTTGTAAATGACCACCTCCCATACGCAACCACTCAGTCTTGGCAGTTTGGGTTGTCGCTTATGGGGGGTGCGACTGTACTTAACAATTAAGTAGTATTAGTAGTAACATATTGGATATGTTTTAATCTTATGCACTCAAGGGGCACAGAATTGATGTATCTGTCAGTGTTCCAGTTCAATACTGACTAATTTAAATGTATGAAGAAAGGCATCCTCAATAAAATTTATCCATGATCACTTCTTTAGTCCAGAGTATAAACCTATGAACAGGTTGATGTCCAAGACCTGGCCAGCTACTTTTGTCCTGCCAAAGTCCTTCCCACCAGTTGTAATGGAGGCATTGGGGAAACGATCTTACATGGAGAAAAAGGCACGAAGCAAGTTTATACAAGCCATATATGATGCAATTTGTCAATACACAATGTGAGTAAACAGTAAATATTGATTCATGTAGATTTCAACGCCTGCAATTTACCAGAAGGTTAAAATAATTGCATATGCAGGTGGCTTGGGACAAGCTTCTCTAAAGTCTATGGAAGTCCATTTCAAGGAAACATTTCGTATCCTTTATGGGCAAGAAATTGCTGAGCCATTGTAAACTGCAGATCTGAATCATTTTGAGTTTGTAAATGTTGTAGTTAAACAAACAAAAAACAAAAATTACCTGAGTTAAAAAATTAACTATACCATATACACAACTGGGTTAGCTACATTGTAACTCATGCAGTACACCCACGCTTGCATGTGAGCTACATTTGTGTCTAATATGTATTATAAGTGGACACAATATGCTCTAGCCTGTCTTAGGCTTGGTTATTTACAAATTTAAAACAAAAAAGACAGAAAGAACAGACTTAGTAATGCTGTAGGGTGCCTGCACAAAAGTATTTTACCTAATTTTATTCCTGCATTTTTTGGGAAAAAAGGTTCTGGTATTATGCAGAGAGAGAAAAACACTGCTGAAAATGAATGTATGCATTAAAACTATTTTGTCAGAAATCACTTATATCATTCTATTTAACTTTGAACGTGACAGGTCTCCTACAGCAGATCAAAGAAGACAAGTTTGCAGACAAATCATAACAGATTATCCTTTTCAAGCTGATGTAGATGGTGGTTGTGTAAGTAGATATATTATTAATATGACTATTAATTGAATTTGAATGAAAGGGCCAAAGACTTAGCACAACAAAAACTGCAAATTTGGTATCTGGATTAAAGAAAATAAAATTTACCCAGAGCTTCACTCTGATCAATAACAGGCTATGTGTATGTTCTGTTTAACTATGCAACGGGGCCTGCCATAAGTGACCACCCACGGTGCAAAGATTAGAGGTTTGGTATTGAAGTGTCACTAAACTGGAACATTCAGTGCACATGGTGATCAAACCATGTGCCAAATGGTTGTTAACATGATGTTAAGAACAATGAAAATTCAAACATCTTTATTGAAAAAAGTGGTCTCGTGAGAGGATTAAACTGTAGTGACTTGACTGGAAAAAGTTTGGTGTTTTGGATAGGTGGCAGCTTCTATATGACAGGTGGTTGTGTTGTGGTTCAGTTTTATCCTTGGTTTAATTTTTATTTCCCTTTGTTTCAAACTCATAATCATACATTACCATATCCAAAAACAAAGGAACATAAAAATTAAAAAAGGATAAAATTGAACCACAACAGTTGTACATAAAGGTTCAATTGTAGTTACTATACTGTTTATGAACTTACGGTGCAGTACCCAACATGACAATCAATACTATTATTACAAATGAATAATATTGTTGCACATAAATTTTAAGAGCAACAATATTATTTATATAAAATAAAATTATAGATGAACTGTACTTGACACTCTTGTGATTTGAACACTTAACAGGAAAGCTGGTATAGAATCCTCACTGATAAATGCAAGAATGAATGTCGTGGTTACGTTCCAGACCCAGTGGTGATGGCACGAAAAAGGAAAAACCCAGATGGTAGCATAAAACAGCCAAATCCCGCAAAGGGACTACGAAGGGGGATTGTAAAATGGGCTACCCCACATATTGAAGGAGAGGACGAAGCATCCCATGCCAGGCATGTCACGTGGATGCACTCAGAATGGAAAAAAAAAGAAAAAAGACACAGCCTTGTAACAAGAAAAATGGACCTCACATATTCCTTCCGAAGGGAGTACTTAACAAAGGAGATGGTACCTCTACTGGACATCAAAGAAAAATATCCATTTCTATTTGATGAAAAAGAGGTAAGCTTAGACTACAGTTTAGTCACACGTTCGTCACGTTACATTTTTTAAAAGCTAAAATGTGTGTTAATTCTTATCAATTGAATTCTAAAAACACTGGTCCAGTTTTGCTTTGTAAGACTAGGCATTGAAACTGTTTCTAGTTCTCTGTTGCTACAGATCACAAGGATGGACATGGATTGAAACCCAGGGGGGGATACTTGACCAATTGGGAAGAGGTGCAGGGTCACTAAGAGTTTGAAACCCTGTCCCTGTTTAGAACAAAAAAATCCCTATAAAAATACAAAACCCTTAATTTTATTACCCTGTTTAGGAAAAAGGACACATACACTGTTTAGGACATGCAGAATCGCGCAAAACTATTAAGTGATGTACAGAGTACCTGTTTAGGAGAGAGTGGCAAAAACCATATCCTGTCTAGAGGCGCATTTCCGTAATACATATAGGTTATTACCCA